TTTATTTAAATAAAAGAATTTAAATTTTATTATTTTATAATCACAAGTTATTTTATTTTAAAAGTTTATTATATAATATAATATAAAAATAAATAAAATAAATTTTTTTGATATACATCCTTTTTTCCTAGCAAACCTCCCATATGTAATAGTTAGCTAAACTAATTAAAAATAACTTTAAAATTTAAAATTTTACTAGAAAGATATTAAAGGCATCTTTATAAAAAAAAAGAATATAATGATAGATTATTTTTTCGAGATGTATGTTATTTTATATATGACAAGAACTTTGTAAATTCATAAAGAAAACTTTATTTTCATTTTTTGAAAGAGCAATGATATATTTATTCATTTATTATAAATAAATTGCATACATTTTTTTAATTATTAATGCATTTGGTTCCTATCTAACTAAATAGCATCACATTATAAGTTTTCTTATAGAATATGATAAATATATCATTCTATATTTGTGAGAAATTATTTTTAACTTGCTAACTTATTAAATAATGCTTTATTAATTAAAGAACAATTTTCTTTTTTATTTTTTTTTTTTAAAAAAATATTCTTATAATACATTAATTATATGCATTTCTGATATTCTTATTTATTAAATTGCATATTAAGAGTAGATGATATTTTTAAGGTTCTCTCAACTAAAAAAAGGATTTATTGTTTAAAGAATAATGGTTTCTTTTTTATTTAAAAAATTTTCTTGTATTTTGATTGATAAGTGTTTTAATAGCAATGATCTATCCATTTTATATTTTTAACTATAATATACAGTAAGTAGATTCTTCTCGCATTTTAATTGACATGCATAAAAACATAAGATGATTTCTTATTTAAAAATTCCTATGACTTTTCTGTCATCATTTGAAAAAAGATTCTTTATTATATAAAAAGTATGGTTTCTTTTTTATTTAAAATTTTTTCATATTCTATCCTAGAATGATATGCAATAGTTAGTTAGTCAATCTAATTAATGTTACTTTACAGAAACTTTGTTTCCTTACTATGCAGTAACTGCATAGTACCTATTAGGTCACGATTAAGCTACTACTAAGTAAGATAGTAACTGTATATTCACTATATAATCACTTTGCAGTTAATGCATATTAAGAAAACTAAGATTCTGTAAAGTAACTTTAAAATTTAAATTTCACAAGAAAGATATTAAAAGCATCTTGTTAAAAAAAAAGAATATAATAATGTATTTATTTTATTCAGAATTTATCTAGATGCGTGCCATTTTGATATATGATAAGAACTTTAGGAAAATAATAAAGAAATTTTTTGAAAAGAGGTAATGATATACATTTATTCATTATTACATACATCTTTTTCTCATCAGCAATGCATTTAGTTCCTATCTTACTAAATAACATCAATCAATTTATGAATTCTTTTGCAGAACTTTGGAAAATATTAAAGTTTGATTGTTATTTTGAGAAAAAAAAATTGTTCAGCATGTCATATTAAAAAAGAAAAGATCTCATAAAAAAATCATTATGTGATTTGACCAATTTTTAATAAAACTTCGTGTTATTCTTCAAAATCTTTATAAAACAATCATAATATATGATGAGCAAAAATAACAAAACTTTTGACTATTGTGTAGTATAGTTTTAATATTAATTCATTAATAATGTATTTTAATCTCGTCTGTATAATATTTATGTATTATTATAACCACTAAATTCTTTCTTTATAGATTTCAGAACTAATTATTTAATATATTATGATTGTTTAATGATTTTTAATATATAAATCATATATCTTAATCTTATACTTTGTATTTATTTAAAAGTTTCATGTATGCACATAAAAGAGCTCCAAATGAAATTGATATATATACAGATTGGCCAGAATTTACTAAACAGTTTAAAACTCCAATGGCATTATTATATGATAAGGGATTTGAGAATCTTAAAGTATGGAGATTCCCAGTATTAGCAGAATGATCAACCAAGAGAAATATAAATACTATCTCTAAACCTGTAAAAAGATTTATACTTCATTTAGAAAAAATGGAAAACAAACATCCTTTACCTCATAGATTTAATTATAAAAAAGCTATTACTGATTACCTTTAAAAATTGACTAAAGTTATAAAAGTGACTATCTCTAATCATTAGAAAATTAATTTTTTTACTCAGGTTTTATTCATATTAATGATAAATGAAATCAATTATTTTTTTTTCGTTAAACTTTTATGAATTTGATTAATCTTTAATTTTTTTTTAAAAATAAATAAATAAATAAAAAGATTTCTTCTGAATTTGATAATAGTGCAATTACAATTATGAGAACATGTGTCTTTGAAACAGAATTATTGAGGAATTTGAATAGTCAAAATTTAGTATTTCTAACAGAACGTAAGTATATGTCATATGATAAATACGTTATTTTTTACAGCTATCTAAAATATTTTTTAAACAGCTGAAGCTACTGCAGTTCATTATATAAAATTCTTAAATTAGCATAATTTACGATCTAGTGGTGAGTACTAATAAAATTGATCAAAAAATGCAAGCGTAAATTTGATTCAATTTTTAAAATAAACCTTTTATTAGTAAACTATATAGTTATTGATTGTGGTGATGAGACTGTAGATTTAATAATTCAACAATTTATAGATGATGATAAATTAAGTAAAATTATAGAGAGAATTGAAAATTATTCTGATAAAAGTTACATAGATCAAGAATTCTTCAAGTTTATAGAATGTAGAGTCAGTATTTCTATAATAAAATCAGATAATAAACAAATATAATCACGAATTTTAGTATATAGTATAAGAATTTTGTAGACGAATTAAGATAAAGTTTATTGAGTTAAGTCAGAATTTTCTACTGTCAACTTGGATTTAGATGGTAATATATTAATTCTTATTCTTATTATAAATTATTATAATTATTATTAAGGTTAATAATCTATTTGTTTCCTTTTAAAAAAAAAATACTTTTTAGAACTTTGCCCTGTTTTAGTAAAATACTGTAAAGGAGAATACTTATATAGGATGGAACAAGATGATTGGATTATTTGATTAAATTTTGAAGACGTTAAAGCAATATTTAATCCAGTTATAGAAAGAATTATACGATTAGTCAATGCTCAATTACTTTTAAGCAATAATTATTCTGCATTAATATTGGTCAGTGAATTTAGTACGTCAAAATATTTGCAGATAAGAATCAAACAAGAATTCAGTACGAAAGTATGAGTCATTTCTATACCTCCCTAACCAGGTACTGCTATAATGAAAGGAGATAGGAATGAAGTACATTAAAATTGTAATCAATAATTATGTTGAAACTGAATATTTAATCCACATATAAATTTAGCTGTACAATATGGTTTGAGAGAATATGTACTGTAGTTTTTATGCGTGTTTTGAAATGAACATATGGTGAATATGCTAATTATATTTGGACATATTTACATATTTTAGATCTTAATTTTAAACATTATAATTTCTCAATAGGAACTGATATTATGGGTAAATGGATACGAGGTGACCCAGAAGAAAGAAATTACCTGGTGGCAGAATTACTACATTTGACAGACTAGTAAAATGAGGCACACAAGTAGCAGTTGATGAGAAAGTAACTAAATTATATTTACCTAGTGTGTTACAGTGTAAAATGAGTTTTGATATATATATTACACCAGAAGATGATGCGAAATATATCGATGATCTACTTGTTAAGTCACTTGAAAAATGGTCTATTGAGCTGCCTCTCTCCTTACATGATGATGATCATTCTATTTTATTCACGCTGATGTTTGGTAGTGTTGAAATTCAAGCCACCGCTGTTAATACTGGTACAGGTGATATCTATGAAACAACTTTTGATTTATATATATAAAAATATATTTTTTATCCTCCTTTTCTTTTAATAGTATATATATGTGTAAGAATAATTTGATGAATCAATGAAATCTTGTTTAATTATTGCTATTTAATTTTATTAAATCATTTGTTCAAGTTAATTAAAATAAAAATAAATAATGTGATACCAATATGAAAATACATTATTATAAGTTTACATACTCTTGAGCATTTGATGTTGTATATCATTTTTTTGAGTGCTATCTGGATTGTCAGTAATAAGTTCCATCATTTGTTGCTTCAGTAGGATAATAATAATCCGATTCATCCGAGTAAAATTGATGTGGCGGAGATTTATCATTTTTATCATTTGATTCTTCTTGATCTAATTGATTATTTTCTGCTGATTTTGTTCCGTTGATGGTTTTTTTGATTTTGCGACCTACAACATAAACTGGTAAGACCTTTGCAGGGGATAAATTTTCAAACCGTTTGTATCTGAATAGATTAGCGGAAAAGAACAAACTTCAACAACCAAAATCATCCTCATCCTTCCTCCAGCTGCCTTTCATGTAGGACTTATCGATTTTAACATTATATTTAAATCAGTGAAATAGAGCTTTCGGTTCTTAAATATTAGAACGAAAATAAAAAATTCTAAAAAACATTTCGAATTAAATCTTCCGCTAACATATCCACATACTTTTTTTATCCATGTCATTAATAACACGACACGATAATCATTCATCATCTCATTGATTTTTTTTAAGATATGACGTATATAGTCATGCACGGAATCTCGATCGGACCTTTTGATATCGCTAAACCCTCGAGTACCAAGCGCAACATAAACTTGCTGACGTAATTTGGGCGTAACTCGAGTTACTTCAACATCACCAACACGTGTATTGCAAAATCGTTCCATTGTCGCGATGATGTCTGATTCAAGGTAATATTCTTTACTTGTACGTGTGAAATATTCGTCCACATGTTTGAAAATTTCTCGAAGTACAGTCCCCGCCAAAAGTAATGGCGGTCAATTTTTATAACTTAAACCATGCGATTTATTAATAAACCCAATTAA